GCTCCCACAGCAGGAGTGCTGCTCAGCTGACCGAGGGGCGCCAGATGCAGGGCGCACGGCTGGTCGCTGCAGCCTGGAGACCACAGTGGAGCAGCAGCAAGCCTACAGAGCGGTGGCAGCAGGCGCAGTGCGGCCGGGATGAGCAGAAGCAGCAGGCAGAAGCAGCAGGTGGAGTCAGACAGCCAGTTTCAGCCCGATCCCTGCAGGCCATGGCGAGGGACCCCACCAGTGCACGAATGCGTGCACCGGGCCTCTAGTTTATTATATAAGACAGAATTCCCCTGTTCTAGTTTCTCTGCCTATTAAATAAAGTTGTCACCTACAAATTACTGCCTGGAATACTTTCTAAATTAAAAAAAAAATACCTCAAAATCTACTATAACTTCATAATATCAGCTGCCAAGCAAAAACACTAGTTTCATATACTACTATTCTTTGAAGTTCCTTTTGAGATTACGTGTTAGAAATAATAAGGATAGCAATTGCTTATATCATACCTACTATGTGTCATTTAATAGGCAAATACCTATGAGTTGTATATTAATTATTATCCCCGATTTACAAATGAGGGAACTGAGGCAGAGAGTTCAAGGTCACAAGACTAAGAAGAGAAACCCGGGATTCAAATCCAAACATTCTGGTCAGAATCAGTGCTTTTAACCTTCACGCTAAGCCAGTGCTGAGAAATTCTACAATTCAATATGACAATCATAAAGTTTGCCAGCCGGAGGAATTTTAAATACCAATTCCTCTACCAATCTACTCGGGGCACAGAGTGGTATTAAGTTAACAAATTTCTATGATTTTTTAGGAACAATTAACTTCATGTTTCATTCCATTTAAAGCAAACAAAACCTCTCTCTGAAATTTCTCTTTCTGGCAAGAGCTAAACCTTCACCAAAACACACTGGTACTTTCTACCTTTCAGACCCTCTCGTCACAATATTATTTAAAAAAAAAACACAGACAGGGGAAAATGTGATCATATTTCAGCTTTATGCTTCAGTCTCTAACATTAGTCCTGAGTCTGTTTTTAGATAAGACTCTCTAATGATGCAGAAGACTTCTTGAGAAAAATAAAGGTTCTAGAATATACAGAATCTAGAATAGTGTAAAAGCAGTAAAAATAAAGTAATTTAGAGACTAAAATGTCAGGAGCCAAGAGAGAGCTGTGCAGAGCATACCGAGATGAAAGGAAATGAAGGCAGAGGAGAAGCGACAACACAGAGACCCAGATACTCTGGGAGCACACTGAGTGTAGCCAGCAGCTCCCTACCTACCTACATGTACAAAAGTAATTGTACGTAAACAATAAAATGTCAATTCTGGTGGCATTAACTTGTTATCTGTAAAAATACAAATGAATATGTCATACTTTGAAAATAGGGGAAAAAAAGTTAAAAAATTTAGCTTTCCAATTTTGTGAAGACTTGGATATTTAGAGTTTTTCCCTGGAGTAAGTTAAAAATAATAATAATAATAATAATCTATTATTTCAAGAATAAATCTATTATTTCAAAGTCCTCCAAGATATTAACCTATATTTAACTTAAAGAGTAGAAGTAACATCATAAGTTCAATTTGTACTCAATTTTAAAATTGTTTAAGCGGCTATTCCAAATAGTCCTCATTCAATATCTGTGGGGAAAAATCCCAAAATTCAATTAGGAATAGTTAATCAAGTTATCTTACTAACCCCTCACAATGACTGAATAATATGGATATATTTCGAAAGTAAGAACGGTGATGGGTTTAGCAAACACAATACAGCAGTCTTGTAAGTTACATTCTCCTGTGCAGCCCCCAAACAGAATTTTAAAATGCTAAGAATGTGTGTGACTAAACATTGCCAGAATTTCCCAGCTAGAGATATGGCTGGGGCAACCTTGTGACCTAAATAGTATACTGCCTATAATGTTATTCTGAAGTTCTCAAGTTCTCAATTGAAATCAGACAACAGCTTAAGAATTCAGAAAGTCAGGTTAGAAAACACACGACAGAACTCTAGGATATGGAGATCTATATGTACATAAATATATAGACATACTATAGCTCCATCTGGATTCAAATACCTCACTGCCCACTTTACAGAGCCAACAACAACAAAAGCTTTATCAGCCAATAATCTCCCATCCTTTCATTACACATCACTATATTCAACTCCAAAACCTAGGTGGGAACCTTAGAAAGCACTGAATGTAAGTGTTATGGTCCCTGATTGCAAACCACCTGACCTGGTTTGTAATTTACAGCCACAGCCGAATCTGTAAGTATAGTCACACGCCGACCCCACAAGATGGAACTCAAAGGCCTCAAGAATCTACTGGTAAGTACACAGAGTAAAATAGCGGTTGCCTGCTCAGATGTGCACATTGACAGGTTTCCTCCGAAGGTGTCATAGTTTCTTAAGAGGAAATCTAGGGTCTGCGCCCCTAAGGACATGACTGTCTTAACAGAATCCAAACAAATTAATGAAATACTTGTAGCCTTTGAATAATACCACCTACCAAAGCTTAAAGCCAAAGCAGTGTTGCCAAAAATATGAATTCCTTAAGCATCATTAAAAGTCATATAACTCCCCTGAAGAAGGAGTCTTTAGAAACCACTTTACTCTTTCGGTCACACAACAGGAGAACGGAACCTCTCTTTCTGGGGAATGGTTAACTTTGGTATCGCCAGGATCCACAGGCCACAGGGGTAACTACATCATGAGTGTCCTCTGTTCTGCGTGCTGAAAATAACTCACGGAAGCATGATGTTCTATCGGTTTCTGAAATTTTTCTTTTACAGAGCACAGCAGATAGATAATACTCATGCTGTCACTTCCGGGACTGAATTGAAGTGGCCATCTGGTGCCAGACCACTAGCCGTCTCCTTTCCTATCTTCTCCGCTAGGTCAAAAGTTCCTCAAGGGAAGGAATGATTCACCTTTTCCCTTTATCACAGTGTCTAGTATATTCCTGGTACCTAGCAAGCACTCAATCAATAAGTACTGACTCAATGAACTTGTTCAATATGTATCAGATATTTTCACTCCCAAAGTTTTATTTACTTTAAGGCTCTCAATTTTTGCCTATACTGAATGGTTACAAATACCCACCCCCAACCCCACCCCCTTTTTTTAATCCTGAGCGGATCTGTCACGATTAATCAATTTTTGTTTACAATAAGGAAATAAAAAACAAGATGCTTATGCTGTTCCAGTCTAAATAGTTTTGTTTGGACCAATATCAAGTACAAGTTAAACTTGATACTGCTTGCTATCACATAACCTAACACATACTGGCTTGTCTTTAAAATATGCTTTCGAATGATGCCTGCTGGGTAAATTAGGTGACTTAGAAGCTTCCTTTATTTAATACATATTATGGTAATAGGCATTCAGCATTCAGGGATTAGTAGGAATCACAAACCTAAGCATAAAGGAAACTTTATTGGCTAGGAATACTTTTAACTAAGAAGATCATATACTCAATAGTGATAATTAGGCCAACAGCCTGAGCTTCGTCCAGCATGCTTTACAACATGGGCTGGGCCCTACCCTGAGTTACCAGACAGGTGTGCGGTTGAACATAAGAAAACAAGAGAGAAGAGGTATCCACATCAATCCATCGCCACTAAGTTTCCTCGCATGATATACAGATATAATGCCCAGCAATAAAAAGGATGACAGCTCATTATTAATTTCAGAAAAACAGTTCACGGGCCGCTCAAAAATTGTTTCAGGTTCAAGATTTCTTCCACACTCAGGAACCAGCTCGGAGATATTGCACGTATGGTTCCAGACCACCACGATGAAGCAAATATCAAAATAAAGGGAGCCACACAAATTGTCTCGCTTCCCAGTGCATGTAAAAGTTACTATGTTCACACTATATTGTAGTCTAATAAGCGTGTAATTGCATTAGGTCTAAAAAAAAACATGTACATACCTTAGCGGAAAATATTGTATTGGTAAAAAAATGCTAACCCTCATCTGAGCCTTTGGAAGGAGCCCGTACACCTTCCATTTGCACAAAACGCGGTATCTGCGAAATGCAATTAAATAGGATATGCCCATATTTGGGATTACATTCCTTATTATAATCCCAACGATCGCCATATATTGGTAATAAGTATGGCTACTTATTCGCTTTCTACAATGCTCAAGTATGGCTATATGAAGAGTCCTACATGGAACTAATATTAACAAAATCATGGTTAAGCCACCGAAGTTAAGGTAAAATCACACAGTATGAGAGCTACATCTTCATCACTCATTTTCAAGGGGCAGTGCCACTGGAAGGGATATAGCCCTTCGGTCTCTCTTCCTGGAGGAATTCTGAGGTCCTGCGGTGGCTGTTTTTTTAATGTAAGACACAGCTAAAAAACACGATCGTCTTTGCGACTGTCCTTCATTACAAAGCAGACAGCACACATCCTGCCGGCAGATTCCCCAGAGCGTGCTGGAGGTGGAGCCGCCGGGGGCCCAGGCCCTGAGCTACTGCTTTTGCAAGTTAGAGGGAGGGGCCGAAGAACTACACTGAGTGGCCAGATGACTATGACCACCCCATCGGTACTTCAGTGACACTTCCAAATATACTGAATATTGAAAACTTCCTCAGCAAATACTCAAGGTTTTATTATTATTATTATTATTATTTGCATAAGTAATTCACTTCATTGTACTGATGGGGTGGTCACAATCACCTGGCCACTCAGTGGACATTATGAAGGCGCACACGTGTTCGTGACGCATGTGAAACTCCGGTTTCCTTTGCAGCTGCACTGTGAGCCCAGCCCCGTGACCTGGAAACGCAGCTCACGTCTGTGACTGCCACGCACGGCCAGCCAATCTGCCCCCTTCCCGGCAGGCCGACAAGACCTACTTGAAGATGTAGGCAGTGTTTATGGGCCTAAACTCCCCGGCATATCTTTAGCTCGGGCAAGCCGAGTTAGACAGGAAATCGGTTCTAGCATCAGAAGGATCTGCTCACTGGGTCCAGCGGCAGCCAAGGTACCTAATGCCACGGGGTCCGGGTTGACGGGGCTCTGCTGCCGGGAGTGGCTGCCGCCGCCCTTTTTCAAGTCCTCAGCGTCGCTGTACCGCCGGATCCAGTAATTCAGCTCCTCCCGGTCCGCCTCCTGACACCGCCTCAGCACGGTGAGAGAGCGCCGGGTTTTCTCCACCATGTCCATTATGCAGTTTAGCAGCTGTGTGGAAAACGGGGGGGAGGGAAGCACACCTATGTCAATCACTACCACTTCAAGACTTTGGTGGGTGGTGAAACACACTATTTTAGGACAATGAAGGGCGCTGTTTTAATTCCCGAAGTCTTTAGTCTAATATTTTTTAAAGGGTGGATTTGAAATGGAGACTCAATCGAGGAGTAAACTCAGTGGGAATGAGAAGACAGAGTGGGGGGCATGGACAGGAGTCATGACAAAGAGCATATATCATGGAGGTATGCAGACAACTTTCCAAGTATTAATCCCAAAACTGTGTCGACCAAGTGAACCTTCCACAATAAAACCATTAGTAGGTTTTAAGAACTCCCTTCCAGGCCTAGCCGGTCTGACTCAGTGGATCGAGTGTCAGCCTGCGACTAAAGGGTCCCAGGTTCGATTCTGGTCCAGGGCACATGCCCAGGGTGGCAGGCTCGATCCCCAATGTGGGGCATGCAGGAGGCAGTCGATCAATGATTCTCTCTGATCATTGATGTTTCTCTCTCTCTAAAATCAATAAAAATATATCATAAAAACAAGAACTCCCTTCCCCGATCTAAACATGTCCCTTATGTAAGTGGCTTTGTTATCAATTTAGAAATCAAATCCTATATTGCACTTCAAACATTCTCATTATTTTTTCCAAGGTTAGCAGAAAACATAATGCCTTCAAAGTAGCCCCACACTTTTACGTTATCAAGTAACCGAACTCTAGTTGCTTTCAAAACGTTTAAGCTAAACAATTACCAACATCTTACATGGTCAAGATGTTTCCACTCCTCTGCCCATTCTCTGTCAGTTAGCCTGTGGTCAATCATCTCTTCTTGACGTGTGCCATGCAACCCTACAAATACAGAGAAGAAGATTAAGTCGTCTTGAAGCATTCAGGACATAAGTCATGTACACACAATATGAAACAATATTCAACCTTTAAATGGAGACACTCAGATTCAGAATTACCTTAGGCAGGTTCCTCACAGTTATAAAATGTTAGAACCAGAGTCCTAGCCAGTTTGGCTCAGTGGATAGAGCACTGGCCTGCAGACCAATGGGTCCCGGGTTCGATTCCAGTCAAGGACACATACATTGGTTGCAGGTGCCGGCCTGGGCCCTCATTGGGGCACGTGCAGGAGGCAACCAATCGATGTGTTTCCCTCACATCGGTGTTTCTGTCTTTCCCTCTCTCTTCCACTCTCCCTAAAAATCAATGGGAAAATATCCTCAGGTGAGAATGGACAAAAAAAAATTAGTTTTTTAAAAAGTTAGGACCAGAAAGAATCTTAGAGGCAATCTGGTCAGAATCCTGTCTTTTACGCATGAGGGAGTAAAGTGACACTAGCCCCTGAGCTAGTTTTCCAAGTTAACCCCCCTTGAGTGAAAATAAAGACAGAAAAAAAATCATTCATGGGCAGGAATATGCTTTTCTAAAAACAACACGATAAAAAAGTTTCCACATTCAGCATGGCATAAATGAGCACACTCCTATGACATATGCCATACCTCCATGACAAAGTCAGGTCATAAAGAGGGGGCTTACATAATAGGAAAGCTGCACATACCCATTCAATTCACCAACATATATAAAACAGAAATAAATCGAACATCTTCCACGAAAAAAATCAATATAGCAGACACAGATTTGGACAAATATCATAAATCCAAACCAAGAAACTAAAAAACCTAACTTGTAGTCCATAGCATATTTGCATCACAGTGAAGATGCTACCGTTAAAAAAGGAACACATAAATGCTCACCAAGTGAGTAACAATAGCAAAACACATGAGTTCTCAAAGATGCTCATCGAAATAGAAAATAAATGTGTCTCAATAATAGCGAAACTATAAAGCAACCTATGTGTCCATTGATAGATGAATAAAGATGTAATACACACACACACACACACACACACACACAACAGTAAATATGCCATAATATGCAGCAATAAAAAATAATTAAATCTTTCCATTTGCAACATGGATGAATCTGCAGGGGTGGGGAACCTTGTCTCTGCCAAGGGCCATGGGGTATTTAGAGCACCATTCGAGGGCCATACAGAATTGTCAACTTAAAAATTCACCTGCTCTATTTGGTCAAACACTTAATTAATTCACCCCTAATGCCTTGGCAGGGCCAGACCAAGTGATTTCTCAGGCCCTATAGGGCCCTTGGGTTGGACGTCCCCCATCCCTGACCTAGAAGGCATTATGCCAAGTAAAATAAGTTAGACAGAGAAAGACAAACCCATAAGGTTTTGTTTATATGTGGAACAGAAAACAAAAACAGACTCACAGGAGTAGAGACCAAAAGATGGTTTAGGGGTGGGGGGGGGGTGTTGAAGAGGAATATTGTCAATAGCATTGTGAATAGTTTGTATACCGACAGACAATTACTAGAATTAGAGGGGCGGTCACTTGTATAAAAGTGCGGGTCACTATATTGTGCACCTGAAACTAATATAACCAATATAAGACTGTACGCCAACGACACGTAAATTTAAAAAATTGAATGAATACCAAAACAAATTGTTAAAACACGAAGAAACTGACACAGTTAAACTGGATAACACAATAAAACCTTGTATTTGCACTGCATAGAAAACGCCAGTGAACTATATAAAAAAGAATAGAGTGGGAGGCTCTGACAGGCCTGCAAAGCCATTATGCATAAAACACCTTTGGTTCCACTGCAAAGGGAAGGCACCGGGCTATGGCAATTTCCAGTTTAAACAACTAAAAATATTCTTTTTGCTTTAGGAACTCTGAGTAGCAAATTAAGGCTGGCATGAATTGGGCTTCTTGCCACCTCGGGTCTTCCTCTGAGGGTACCATGTAAGGGTGCAATCACAACAGAGCTAGGAGACACTGCATCACTCACTGCATTACACTTCCGTGAAATCTGAGCGGCTGAAAATCCCCCCTTCTATCTGACTTGGAAAAATAAAGATGAAGAGTCGCATGCCCGTTTTCAGCCAACCACAAAATATGAGTGACTATCAACCATGGACAATGAACAAGTGTATGGCAACTTTTTCTCAGACTAACTACAAAGGTCAATATAAAACACTGCACCGTTTCTACCCAATGAGAACATAATCCGAGGCACATTTTAAAAGTTAAAATTGCCAATGCCACCTATTGGTAAAACTGCAGAACTGCAAACATGTTGGGGAAAAGTAGCATTTAGCTGTTGCTGTTTGTTGTGACTATTTGAAGTTGAAATGTTTGCAAATGTGTGATTTTTTGTTGACTGTGTGTTGCCTGTTTCAAAGAAAAAGCATTGCCACTGAAATGAACCATCACAGAGGAGAACGAGAGAGGATGAAGGTATCAAAGTAGCACCGATTTTCACAATGGAGACCTTTAAGAACCAAGAGCCCCAGAGACTTCGAAAGTTTCAAAATTCAGCTAAGTCACAATACAAGTTCTAACACATGGAAGAATAATAATAAAGCGAAACAGGATGTCTGTGGCTAATGAGATTCCAGCATTTGTGGAACAGTATTAAGCATTATATCTTTTTTTTTTTTAAAAAAAGCAAGTGCATTAGAAACATGTTTGAGCCCAAGTACGTGGTGAAAAAATACAGGACTCATTTGCTGCTTTTGAACGCTGAAGGTCATTTGTTAGAGTCAAGTCTTTAAAAAGAAAACATAGCACAGCTCAAATTAAATAATGTAAAAACTTTACATTATTTCATTTCTCTATTTCAGATACTTAAATTCTCATCAGCACACAGTTTTTATTTATATTCATAACTAGAGGCCCGATGCACGAGATTTGTGCAAAGGGGCTCAGCGCCCACAGCCCCACCCACTGGTCGTCTGGTCTAATTAGCATATTAGCTCTTTATTTTATAGGCTACCAGGGAGATGTGCTAGAAGACAGTGGCTCATCGGCATTAAGGAGCACATGTTCATTTGTGGGAAGTTTGACACTGAAGTTGAGTCTTAACCGATTCTTATGCTTTAGAAGACTTTAGCTAACCAGGCTAACACTCTTAAGTTTATTTATAACTATTGCTGCCGATAGAGTTATTTTATTAAAGGATTCTAGTGAATATATGTCTCTACATATAAGAGGCATTTATAAATCATATCGGACTAAGTATAACTTTATGACAATTTTTTTATCTTCGCCTGAAGTTATGTTTACTGATTTGAGAGAGAAAGGAAGAGAAAGGAAAAGAGAAGGACGGAGAGAGAGGAACAGAGGGCGAGAAGGAGAGAGGTGGTGAAGGGATGAAGGGAGGGTGACATCAATGTGAGAGAGAAACATGGATTGGTTGCCTCCCAGACGCACCCCAACTGGGGACCAAACCCGCAATCTAGGTTTGTGCTGACTGGGGACCAAACCCGCAATCTAGGTTTGTGCCCTGACTGGGAATCTAAGCCACAACATTTTGGTGTGTGGGACGATGCTCCAACCATTTGAGCCACCCAGCCAGGCTTTGATAACTTTTATATTTTCAAAAGGGTAGCCTGGTGTAACACCCTAATTTCTCTCTCAGACACCAAGATTTAACTTTATTTTAACACTTACTAAACTCTGCCAGATTTTAAGGATGATTACATAGTTGCACGTATTTATAGAGATTAGCACTATTAATCTTAGAAGCTAATATAATTTTAAAGTAAGAAACATGGTCTGAAAAAAAATTACATAAAACCAACAGATGTAATGCATAAAGGGATTTTCAACATTACTAGGTGAAAACATAATCATTGCACATAAGTGTAATTACTTCCTTGATGGTTACTTAATAGTGCACTAGAACTAATATTTCATAAAATACCATTTGCTACCGAAGAAACAGGCCATTTCCTAGCAGCTACGAAGTGGGATATCTTGAATTGCTCTTACAATGACCTGGTGACTCCACTTCTACTTGAAAATGAACCATCAGGTGTCTGGGGCATTGAGTCAGAGACAAATGGCCAGGCTTTTGCTTGGAAGGGGGCCGTTATCACCTTTGATTTGGGGTTAAAATATCAACCCTGCCTGAGAAATAACATAACCACTTTTGAGAGTTCTTCAGAAATGGTACCGAGAGAACATTAGATGGGCTATTAAGAAAACACAAATTATATGCTTAGCCCTTTCTCTGACACATTATGAGTGCAGAAGTGACTACTGTGGGAAGTAGAACTACTACTTTGCTATCTCACAACCTGGGCCTTAATGGCCCCCTCACCTTACCCTCTCTCTCCCTCTCTGCTTTCTAAACCTTTAGAGGGTTGTATGTGGAAAGGCCAACAGACCTTATATATGGCAGTCCCCACTTGCTAGTAACCTAGTTATTCATCTACATACACAGCTGCTCACCGGGGTACCTCTGCCTGTGGCTGAAATCGCTGTCCCTCTTATTCAGGCACTGAGTAACCAGCTGCACTTCCCAGAGTTCTGCATCCTCAGGGCTATGCTCTGGTTTTCCACTTGGACTTTATCCCTTACTGTTTCCAGCATCCGTGCCCAACAAATCACCCGTGTCAGGGAAATCAGTCAGCAACTAGCTAGGCGGTAAAGAGAAGTGCTGTTGGTGTGTGGCCTGGACCCAGAAGATGGAAAAAGAGAGGGTTGGCTATTGCTCTCCGTCAGTTTATAAATAGCGTGACTCACCAAAAATTAAGAATCACTGGAATCTCATGAACAAAATAAACTAATGAACAAAATAGGTCCAGAGACATAGAAGAATGGAACAGACTGTCAGATCTCACAGGGAAGGTGGGGGTGGGTGGGTGAGAAGAATTCAACCAAAGAACTTGTATGCATATATGCATAACCCATGGACACGGACAACAGTGTGGTGAAGGCCTGGTGCGGGGGGTGGGTGCAGGCTAGAATGGCTAAATTCACCGAACTGCACACAGGGGGACATAAGTAATATTTTCAACAATAAAGGTTAAAAAAAAAAAAAGAATAGCAGGAGCGCCAGAACAGTGCTCTGATACCTTCGCCTCAACCACTGATCATGCATCAAAACCTACCTTGCTCATCTTCCCTCTCATTTTTCATGCGGTTCATTTGCTCTTTCGAAGGCAATGTCTCCTAAATGCTTCATTTCCAATAGTTTTATTCAAAACATGAATGGAGGCAAATGGAACACATATTTACCCAAACTCATTCCATCTCAGGAATTATAAATCTTGCATTTATTCATGGCAGTTTCAAGTTAAAAAAAAAAAAAGGCACCAAATCATTCCTCAAAGAACATGGGTTAAGTCAGAGACATACATCCAATCCCATTAAAAAGCGAACAAGTCTTTCTGTCTTACCCATAGGTCTGTTTCTGTCCCTGAGGTCCCTGTGGCTGGGGTGTCGATAGGAGTCCCTGTAGTGGTGGGCAATGGCCATATCATCCAAACGGTAATGCTGAGGTGGAGGTGGGGTGGGGTGAGGCAGGCCATTGGGCTGGTAGGACAAGCCGTTATTTGGACTGTACCGCTGGCCGGGGCTAATGGTGCATGGCCGCTTGCTTGGATGTTCTGAGTGCAAAGGCTCTCTGTCAAAGCCATTTTCTTTGGTTCTGCGGGGGCGGGGATGGAGAAAAAGATTTTGTTTCATGATATATTCAGAAACCAGCATAATTCAAACACTCACATTTGAACTTGCAATATACACAATATTCCTGCATTGGCCGGAAACTTTGTAAACTCAGAAGACCACTGACTGGTAATTCACTGAAACGCATGCTGAGGTCTACATGATCACAGAACTGCACACAGGAGAAAATGGTTCAATTCTCAAACATCTCTTGGAAAATATCTTTTCATTTGAGGCTCACATATGGTTAGGGTCATGAATAAAAGGAAATCCCAATCTCACTCCGTAGATAACATTTCCATTCAAAGGAGAATACTTGGTTCCTAACATATTACCCTAAGACATTGTATCTGGTGAAGATTCAAATTAGACATCATTCTCCTGATGAATTAATTCTTCAGGTTAGACACCTACTCCATGCATCCACCCTGGCTAACGTTCATATCAGAGAACACCTAAGAGCTGTGTTGCCCAATACAGTAGCCACATGTGTCTGCTTAAATTTAAATGTAAGTTAATTAAAATTAAAGTTTACGATTTGGGTCTTCAGGAGCAGTGGCCACATTTTAGGGGCTCAGTCACCACCTGGGGCTGTGGCTACAGACGGGGACTGCACGCACAGAGAACATTTCCATCGTCACAGACAGCTCAATGGGCAAGTGCTGATCTTGTGGGCAAGAGCTAACACAATAAAGCAATGTAAAGTCTGGCACTCTCACATGGCCTGGTGTCAACTGGGTATCCATCGGCGGTCACATGGAGCTAGCTGCGACTAAAGAGAATTTAGGTGAACCCCCTTATTTTAAAGTTGGGGAAACATGCTCAGAGAGCATGCGTGACCTCACTGGGGTCATGAGGCCTCAGGGCAGGACAGCATACCCTGCCGGCACTTGATTATGTGACACACAAAACTCTGAACTTGGCTTTCGGAAGGAATGCATTATATAAACGAGACCTGATAACTCATCACTGCACCTATATCTGTTCAAAAAGAGGTGGGGCTAGAGCACCATTTTCTGGCTGACTAGGTCTCTATTCGTAAGGACAAACTTCATATACGCAGTCAGACAGGAACCAGCCACATCCCACTGTGACTGGAACAACAGCTCCCAAGCTAATTTCTGATGAAGGAGCGGGCCCTCACCGCAAGACCAGCACTCTATCGTTAGACCCGTCGTAAGGTCTATTTTCCCTGTAAAATTTCCCCATGAGAATTCTACCAAGCCACAGCAGCTACAGACCTCTGCACGCCTTTTTGATTCTATGTTGGAAAGAATAGCAGAGAGGCCTGAAGACATTTCCCCCCACTTTCCTGGCTCCCAGGATAGTCTTGGTCTGGTAGTACTAGAGGAACCAGAGAAGCAACTGACTTAACAAGGGAGGTCATTAGGGCCACAAGATTCAACAATGAGCCATCCGTTACATCGAGTAGGGTAGGCCCCCAGTAACAACTGACACACACGAGACTGAGAAGGAGAAAGGACTTGAAGACAAAGGTATAGCACACAAAAAGCTGAGGAACACTGCAGAGTTCAGTGTGCAATGAATACATGCCCACTACATCCTGGAGAAAGATGCACTATCCTGGAGACAGCAGACTGGCCAATACTAGACATGACAGCAGGGCATGGTCCATGCGGAGGGGGGAGCGAGGAAGGTGTGGCTAGATGATGCTCCCATCAAAGTATGTGTCTGTCCTAAAGCATCATTAATATTAGACCGAAAAATGTCCACTATAACTCAGACATTACCTGAACGCGTTTCTTTAACACAATTTTTAAAAGTGAAAGGAAACATTTTAGATATTAGATACTGATTTATCTTCTAAGAGTGTATCTATGTGATTCTAATCTGTATTTCCATGTCCTATATATTTCTGAAAAATACACTTCAACATTCAATGCATATGACCAGCATCAATCAGTTGAAAAAATACTGCAGACTCTTAGTAGCTATGAACATAATGCTGACACATCACCTACCTTATGGGCAGTGTGGTGTAGTGGTAAGAGCTCTGGACTGGGAATCATGAGCTATGAGATCTAGTCCTGGCTCTTCCACGACTAGCTGTGTGACCTTGGGCAAGCCACTTAACCTCTCTGGACCTCAGTTTGCTCATCTGTAAAATGAAAGGGTTGGACTAAGTCAGTGGTTTTCAAACTGTGCCACCTGAGGCACTAAGGGATTCTGCAGGCAATGAAGAACTTTTCCTGTAAACAATCAAAATTTAAAGGGCCAGAGGAACCCACTTCTTATTATCTCTTTTTGTAAATTTAGGTTCCACTTAAGGCAGCGGTTCTCAACCTGTGGGCCGCGACCCCTTTGGCGGTCGAACGACCCTTTCACAGGGGTCCCCTAAGACCATCCTGCATATCAGATATTTACATTATGATTCATAACAGTAGCAACATTACAGTTATGAAGTAGCAACGAAAATAATTTTATGGTTGGGTCACAACATGAGGAACTATATTTAAAGGGCCAGAAGGTTGAGAACCACTGACTTAAGGTTTCATTTTCTTTTTTTATCTTTATTGTTCCAAGTATTTTAAAGGAAAAAGTCTGCCGCTAAAATCAAGTTTGAAAACCACTGGACTAGATGATTTCTGAGGTCTCTTCTAGTTTGAAACCTCTTTCATTCCATTTTCCTATATTTACATCTAAATATCCTGGTTCTGGCCCTAGATGGTTTGGCTCAGTGGATAGAGCGTCAGCCTGCGGACTGAAGGGTCCGGGATTCGATTTTGGTCAAGGGCACATGCCCAGGTTGCAGGCTCGATCCCCAGTAGGGGGCGTGCAGGAGGCAGCCGATCAATGATTCTCATCATTGGTGTTTCCATTTCTCTCTCCCTCTCCCCTCCTCTCTGAAATCAATAAAAATTAAAATTAAAAGTAAATAAAAAATAAAATAAGTGGCTTGGTTCTGCAGATCCAAAGACATAGGCCTGATGGTCCTCTGGCCAAACGGTGCCTGTGCCAACCACTGTAGCCAACAGAGTACTTCTCTGTTCTTTGCTTTGAACGACTTGTTATTTATAGCTAATTCCTTGTGCAAAAATAGAAAATACCCTCTAAATACCTTATAGCAGCCACTGCTGCATTTCTAAATATACAAACGTTTTTGGCCCAGTTGTGTCAAAACACTTCAACTTACGGGTTCTGTCTACCCTTGTTCAAACATAACAACATACAATATTAAAAGAATTCTTAGAATGTTGTTTATCTTTACCCTTAGATCAGCCACCTGGTCAGTGCTATTCCGTCAATGAACCATTATTATCAAAAGAGATATTTTCCCCCTCAGCAAGGACACTGCCATCCTAAGCAGGGTTCAGTCCCGAGTCTGTCCTATCATTTCCGGCAGGACTCTGCTGTCCAACCCTGGGCCCTATTGCTCAGGTAGCTATGGAAACAATAGAGCTCATCGCCTCACAGAAGTCGTTAGATTTTAACAGCAAAACATGAAAACCTTCATGGCCCACAAAAACAAGTCTGTGCAAGGTCTCACCGGTGCTTCCTTGAATCACTTGCATCTAGAAAAGGTCAAGCCTAGTTAAAAGATGGATGCATGTCCAGCACTGTAACTAAAACAACATAATTGTTATTCGTCTGTCTCCTTCTTAGAATGCCTACAACTATCTACACCTCATTTGCCTGAGCAAATTCCAAATTTGCTTATTTGTTACCCTTTCAAAGTGTAGTAACCAAAACTAAGTGAATTCAGATAAGAATTTTACATAATACCTTTCTCTTTTTTTAATATATTTTTACTGATTTCAGAGAGGAAGGGAGAGAGAATCATGGATCAGCTGCCTCCTGCATGCCCCCTACTGGGGATCCAACCCACAACCCGGGCATGTGCCCTTGACCGGAATTGAACCCAGGACCCTTCGGTCTGCAGGTCGATGCTCTATCCACTGAGCCAAACCAGCTAGAGCCATCATACTAAAAAATGTATCTAAAACAAAATATATTACAAATTCCCCACCTCCTTAAAAAAAAAAATCAAACCTATTCTTCCTGACAACCCATGGTGGTGTCTGTGCTTTGCTCTCATCTTGGGGGAGGTAGGATATTCAGACGAGAGGTAACAGAAAGCTGAATGACACCGGACCGTTACTGCTGGGCCATATGGCAGGAGAAGCCTTCAGTCTCTCCATGGCCAGACAACCACGGAGACACCTCCCCAGCAGCACGCCAATGCCTTCAGGAGGGATGAAGCGCAGGTGGAGGAGGACCACTTCAGACGTACAAACATGCTGCCTGGACCTTCAAGGATGACAATACAGCAGGTTCAGAGCCATCTGAGCCTTCTTTTCTCCCCCAACAGGAAGGTGGGATGTGTCTCCCAGAGCTCGCCATCTGCTCAACGGTTAGGTTCCTGCTACTGCCTGTCCCCTGCCTTTCATAATTTCTGGCCACTGCTGACGTCTTCAATTTATACTGCTCCTCCTGGCTGGGGCTGTGCTTTCTTACTCTGTTCCGTCAGCGTTACCTTGTGAGTGAAGCCCTCCAGTTTTTTTTTGGTCCGTGAGCCAATCACAGCATTTTGTTCCTGGGCTGTGGATGGCTATTTTCATTTCTGTGTGTCTCAGAGATGCAGCTTTTAAAACAGTAGAAAGCAAGAAAGAAAGCAAGACAGACTCTTAAGGGAGAGACTATTTTGTATTATACTGAAAATGACTACAGTAAGTTTAATGATTTATTTATTCAAGGAGTAGGGTTTTTGTTGTTGTTTTATGAGTGGGTATACATAGAAACCCACTATGTGTAATATGCTATCCTGAGCTTTGGTAGGCATACGAAGATAACCAAGAGATAATCCCTCAACACCCTCCATAAAATTATCACTTAATACCAGACACACATTCTTTGTGGAAGTATACTGGCAATAAATCTTTTACTGTAAAGACAATTTAATTGGAGACATGACTTCTATATTTTCACACAGGACCTGCACTTGGCAGGAACCATAAAAATAGT